CCGAGGCCGCGCGTAGCGTGGGCGGGCGGCAGGGCCCGCCCTACCCGCGGGCCTGAGGGAGCGGCGCCCCGGCCGGCCTGGCCGCCCCGGAGCGTCGAGTGCTCGCTCGCTGCGCGGCCCCGGCGGGGAGGCCCTGGGGAGGCCCTCGGGCGTTGCGGCCCCGGGGGGTGGGGTGGGGTGGGGGTGGGGAGGGTCGGACCTGGGGGACGGCCGGGTAGACCGGCCCCGGGGCCTGGAGGCCGGGGGACCGGGAGGGCACCAGCGGGGCCCGGGGGGACTGGGGGAGCCGGGGGTGGGGTGGGGACCAGAGCCGGGGCGGTCGTAGAGGGGGCTGCGTGGGCGCTGGATCCGGCCGTGCGGACTTGGAACGCGCTCCCGGGGTTCGTACCTGTCGCTGGCTGGTCCCCGAGCCGGGTGGCCCAGGCTTACCCTTCCCCGGAGGAGGAGTAAACTGGGACTCACTCTAGGGCTGGTGCCAGGCGGCGCGCACACGCACTGGTTTTCAGAACGGAGCAAGGTCAGTTCTGGAAACTGCAGATCGATAGTGTTTAACTGAGCCCTTCATCGCGTTTAGGGAGAGAGGTCGAGACCAGCCAGCGGTGTAAACTTACTGACGGGACGTACCGACCAGACGGTCTTACTGGTCTCATAACCGATCAAGTTAACAGACGGGCAAATGAAGGAGACGTTAGGACCGGAGCGCGTATGAATTTGAGCACGAACCCGCACGCCTCGCACAGCGCTTAGGGAGCTTAGTGGGACGCTGGCGGGGGAACCGTGCAGGTTTGCAGATTTGTGGTTGGGCAGTAACTGCTCAGAATCTCGATTAGTGGCTCTTGGCTTCTGGAAGGAGTTCTGAAAGACCTCACTGCCTTGGCTTTGGCCTCATTTCGTCTAGTGTTTGTACTTTTGTTAATGTGCCCTCTGCCAAAAATAACAGAAGGTGCAGTGCCTCTCAGGTCCTCTAACGAAGGCTTAGGATGGAGAATGTAAAATCTGCCTTGACGGAGGGCTGGGAACCTAATCCCCCCAATCTTCCCCATCTTCCTGAATGGCATCACCGTTCACTTGGGTTTTCAAGCCCCGAACTGAAGAATAATACTCCTCCTCTTATTCCTGAAGACGGTTCATAATGAAGTCTTGTGGCTTCTTCCTCAAAAATGTGTTTGCAGTGAGCCCCACCTCTTCTATCGCCAGTGCCCTTGGCTCCCCAGCCCCCTTGTCTCCAGGTGGACTTGAGTCCCAGGTAGTCTGGCCCCAGCCTAGGTCCATCACCTGTCCCTGGAGGGGCTCTTTAAACGGATATCCTAGGGCCACACCCCGATTAAAACTCCTCAAAGGATTTCTCTTAAAGTCAAACCTACATTCCTGCAGGATCCTAATTGATCTGGCCTTTGTCTAGGGCTCATTTCCGTCTTTTCCTTGCTGTAGCGTTCAATTCTTCATGTTCCTCGCAGATATTCTGAGAATCCGCCTCCTCTGACTCCTCCCTTAGGTCTCAGGGCGTCAGCTTCCTAAAAAAGGCCTTCCTCAAACCTGCCTGCAAATAACTTCACTTTACACCAGTCTTTTTCTACCACAGTGGTTCTCAAAGTGTGGTTCGTGGACCCCTGGAGTTCCCGGAGGCGCTTTCAGGGGTCTGCAAGGTAAATCTTTTCATAGCGGTACTATTTGGTTTCTCCACTCGGTTAACATTTGCCCTAGTGGTACAAAAACGATTAGGAGTAAAATTGCTGACGCCTTTGCATGAATCAAGACTGGTGTATTTCACTCAAAACGGCAAACTCAATCTATCAAAGTAAAATGATTTGCAGGAAAATGAAACGCAACATATTGATTGCAACAGAGAGAATGCAGAAGAAGATAGGAGGATCTGCTTGTTTTGTCAGACATTAAAAAGATTTCTAAAAGTGAAAACTCTTCACTTTTTTTTTTTGAGAATATACTTTTCATAAAAATATGTATTTGCATTAACATACGCTAGATGTTTGCTTTTAATTGAGCTATTTTAAACAGTGCTCGGTTTGAGTAGGGCGAATAATGATGTAATCTATATAAATTTAAGGTCTTCGGAGTCCTCAGTAATACTTAAGAACGTGAAAAGATCCCCAGATCAGAATGTTTGAGGACTGTTGCTCTGTCACTCTGTTAATGATACCTCTCATCGCCTGAAATTACCTTGTTTTCTGTGTTACCGTTAGGAATTTTATTCCTAAGAAAACGTGGAAGATCGGTGGGGATTTTTGCAGGCGGGGAAATGCAGCTCAGAGAGGTGAAGGGATTTGGAAGGTTTCCCCGCCTAGTCAGCACAGTTGAGATTTGAACCTACGTTTGACCAGACGGTGCGTTGTATTGTTCCACCTTGATAAATATAAAGGCCTACACATGGGTTAGTTTATTTAAAACGTTTTAAAGCACTGCCTGTCGCCGTGCTAGGGGCTGGGTTGCAAAGTTCAACAGCAGAGAGGTCATCTCTGCCTTGGCTCCTCAGGACCCTGTGTCCTGCGACGGTGGGGACTCTGCTTCCGGCGGCAGGTAACAGGCGCTGGAAGTGCAGGGTTCCCGGAGAGGATGCTGTCAGTGTGGAAACCTCAAGAGGAGGTGGGGGTAGGCCCGCTGACGAACCTTTCTGGAAGTAATTGGCTCAGGACGAGTGCAGTGGTCCACCCTTCTCCGCACTTTCCATTTCCATCTGTTGGGGCCCCGCGGGCCGAAGCACGTGATCCTCTTTGCGGCCTGTCCTCAGGAGGTCACGGTGGCCCCACGCTGTGTCCCAATGCCTCACAGGCCTAAGGTCACTCACCTCCCTTCATCTGGTCACGCGGGGACTGTATCATCTGTCGTCACCAGAAGGGCAGGTGCAGCACAGTAAGAGAGAGGGCGACCCCATGCACACGGCTTCTGTAGAATGTCGTCACGGGTGTCTACTCGGTTATTAGTTCTTGGTGATCTCGTACTGTGCGCAGCGTATGCTCAACTTTGTGGTAGGTGTGTAAGCGTAGGAAAAGACCCGATGTACAGGGTTCCACGCCCTCTGTGGTTTCTGGCATCCGCCGGGATCTTGCAGGACATCAGCTGCCGGGGTGGGGGACCCCATGGTGAGTAAGCCTGGGTTCCCAGCTGAGGGGCGTGTTTGTCGAGCCCTTGCTTGGCGCCTGGCGCGCTCTCCTGGGCGAGTAAAGCTGGGTGAGATAGGAGTGCTTCCTCCTCACGCTTTAGTTTTGCTAAGCAGTAGTGACCTTGATGGAAGCCACATTTCGGGACCTTGTCTGGCCTCCGTTTGTTTTTTCCAGTGCGCTGGTACACGCTTTTTCTCCCGGGCTGTACCTGTGGTCGGCCTCCTGCTCACTTTCTGTTTTCTGTCGGAGGAGTATTTGTAACGCTTCATTTCCAGAGCTGAGAGCTGAGACGGAGCTTGAGCCAAATGGATCCACAAGTCCTCTGTTGCTCAGATGATCACTTCAGGCCACTTCAGATTTTATTGCGCGTGTTCAGGAAGCTGCTGTCCCCTCCAAGGGCACTGGGCTAGTGGGAAGGGCTCAGCAGTAGGATTTTGTGTGCGAGACGGCAGGAGGTCCCGTGCCCTCAGATTTAGAGGTGAATCCTCTGCTTCAGCGGGCGGAACTAGGTACTCCTGGCGGTAAGAGTTAAGGGGAGACAGATTCTGCTTCGAATAAGAACTTTCTGACAGTATCAGGTGTCCAAGGATGAAAATATATATTTTTTTAAATTTATTTTGAGACAGAGAGAGACAGAGCATGAGCAGGGGAGGGGCAGAGAGAGAGAGGAAGACACAGAATCCGAAGCAGGCTCCGGGCTCTGAGTTGTCAGCCCAGAGCCCGACGTGGGGCTCGGACTCACGGACTGTGAGATCATGACCTGAGCTGAAGTCGGACGCCCAACCACCTGAGCCACCCAGGCGCCCCGAAAAGATTTTTTCATAAAGGAGTACCCTTCACTCTCTGTAGTTGAACTTTTTAGGTAGGCAGAAACTTGGAGTTTTTAGTATTTTGAGGAAAGTGTATTAGGCAACACAAAATTTAAAGATTTTACTATCCTGGAAACAAGTGGTGAGTTAACATGAGTTCAAAATCTTGGTCTTTTCACAATAAAGGAAAAATATTTCATTATAAGGATGTATTTAAAAAAAATCTTGGTCTCTGACACAAATACAGCCTGGGAAAACTGTACTGCACCGTAATCCTTCATTAGATAAAATCAATTCAGTGCTTTTTAACGTTTATTTATTTTTGGGACAGAGAGAGACAGAGCATGAACGGGGGAGGGGCAGAGAGAGAGGGAGACACAGAATCGGAAACAGGCTCCAGGCTCTGAGCCATCAGCCCAGAGCCCGACGCGGGGCTCGAACTCACGGACCGCGAGATCGTGACCTGGCTGAAGTCGGACGCTCAACCGACTGCGCCACCCAGGCGCCCCTATTCAGTGCTTTTTAAAATGATCGTTATCATATATCAGGGTCTTTATATTTTCTCTGTATACAAAGACTGTGTCTCTGTGCCCAACTGGTTTTCAAACTACTTTTAGTGTTGGAACTTTCTTACGTGAAATAATACAGCAAGGTCTCGAGGAGTGGTTTTCACCCTTGGCAAAACGTTGAAATTACCTGAGGAGATTTAAAAAATCCCGATGACCGGGCCTTGAGTCCAGTTACTTCCAAACCGGTGAGGTGGAACCCGGGTGATTCTGCTGTGTGGTCAAGGCTGAAAACCATTGATCTGTGGCACGGCTGTGCAGGTTGAAAGGCATGAGACTGAGGGTTTCTCTAGGGTGCTGTCCCCCCAAATTCCTCTCAGCAGAGCAGAAAACTGTTGCTTTAGTGGATTAGAATAATTTACTTAACATAATAAGCAGCACCAACCGGGGTCTGAATTCTGATTAAGGGAGTCAGCCACAGAGGCTAGCAGAGCAGGGGAAGGTAACAGGTGCCAGTGCTTCTGGGGGTTTCAGAGAAGTGTGGGGGTCCTGTTTTGTCCACGGGGGCAGGCTCCTGCTCTGCTCCGTCCACTTATCGCCGTGGCTTGTGATTTTTCAAGAGAAGCCAGACCTGTATGTTTTTGAAAGCCTTATTATCGTATTTTGGTAATGATGTTAATCAAACAGAACATCTATACAGGAAGTGTGCGGATTTTAAAGTGAAGAACTTCACGTATGCGTATGCAGAACATCGGTGGTATCTTAAAAGTTCCTTTTGTTCCCCCCAGTTACTACCACGTCCCTCTCCGCCCCACTGTCCTCTTCTGATACCTCAGGTTAGTTCGACTTGCTTTCAAACTAAGTTGGATTCACAGTATGTACCCTTTTGTTTCTGGCTTCATTCATTCAGTGTTTGCTTTTATGAGATCATCCCTGTTCTCGTTTATGGGTTTTATTTTTTAATGCTTTTATGTATTTATTTTGAGAGAAAGAGCAAGTGGGGAGGGGCAGAGAGGGAGAGAGAGAATCCCCAGCAGGCTCTGTGCTGTCAGCACGGAGCCCTGCTGGGGGCTGGAGCTCAGGAAACCTGAGATGGGGACCTGAGGCAAAATCAAGAGTCTTGACCAAGTTCAACTCACTGAGCCACCCAGGCGCCCCTCCCTGCTATTGTTTGGCAGAGATAGGTTCATTCACATGGTTGTATATTATTCCGTTGTGTAACACACTGTCAGTTTGTCCTTTCTGCTCTGGGTGCTTGGATGGTTTCCACTTTGGGGCTATTACAGGTCAGCGCCGCTGTGAACTTGTATGCGTTTCTGGGTCCCAGCAGACACTGCCGAACAGTTGTCTAGTGACTGTGCTAGTTTAATCTCCTACCAGCAGTGTCCCAGAGTCCCGTCCGCGCTGTCCTTTTAATATCTTAGCTATTCCGGTCTGTGTAGTGCTAATCTTGACTTCTAACTTGCGCTTCGGTGCTAATGAGGACTTTATGTTCGTTAGCCGTTTGTTTTCTCTTGTGAGGCTCCTGTTTAAGTCTTTTCCCACTTTCCTGCTGGATTGGATATCTTATTTATGTATTTTTAGTTAATAGACTTTGCTTTTTATAGCAGTTTCAGGCTTACGTTAAATTGAGCAGAGGGTACCTAGTTCCTCTATACTTCTTATCATCCCCCTCCCCAATCCCCCCCCCCCCAGGATTTCCCCTCTTATTCTCATCTTGTAATAGTGTTATATTTGTAACAATGGATCAGTTTTGTAGTAAAGTCCCTAGTTTACATTAGGGTTCACTGTCTCCATCGTTCTGCCTGCTCTCAAGCGGGAATCATACCATACAGAGCTTCGGACTGCCCTCTCTCACGAAGCGATATGCAGTTAAGATTCCCTCACATCTCTTCATGGCTTGACAGCTCATTTCTTTTTATTGTTGAATAATATCCCATTGTCTGGATGTGCCACAGTCCGTTTATTCACATTTTGAAGAATATGTTGGTTGCTTCCGGTTTTGGGCAGTTGCGACTTGCTATAACCGTTTGTGCGCCGGGTTTTTTGTGCGGACGTGTTTCCAGCTCGTGTGGGTAAACACTGTGCTGGATGGTGTGGGGAGACTGTGTTTCGCTCTGCAAGAGATCGCCGCCCTCTTCCAAAGTGGCTGTGCCGTTGTGCATTCTCACCAGCAGAGAGCGGGAGTTTCTGTTGCTCCACATCCTCGTTAGCACCTGGCATTGATTTGTTTAGACTTTAGTCCTTCTCCTAGGTGTACGGTGGTGTGTCGTTGTTTGAATCTGCAGTTCCCTTCTGAGATACAGTGTAAACCATCTTTTTGTACACTTGCTTGACATCTATTTTTGGTGAAGAGTCGTGTGTCTTTTCATTATTGACTTCTAGGAGTTCTTTGTATATACCGTGGGGGAGTTCTTTTACTTTGCCCTTCACTCTTCTAAGGATATCTTTCCATGAAAGAAATTCCCGATCTTAATATTGTCTAACATCAGTTCTTTCACGTTTACTACTTTTGGGACCTGTGTAGGGAATTTTTGACAGTCGTAAGATCACAGAGACCTTTCCTTAGGTGTTCCATCTAGATGCTTCATTGTTCTACTTCTCACCTGTAGATTGACAATTCTTCGTCTACTATTTAAGGGCATTTGCATTGTTTTTAGCTGCCGGCTGTCATAGTAATGCTTCTGTAAGCATTTTTAAACATGTGGTTTGATTTTTTTAAGAGAGGGAGAGCACGTGTGGGAGAGGGGCAAAGGGAGAGAGAGAATTTTAAGCAGACTCCACACCCAGAGCGGAGCCCAGTGCGGGGCTCGATCTCAGGACCATGAGATCGTGACCTGAGCTGAAATCAGTTAGATGCTCAACCGACTGAGCCACCCACGTGCCCCTAAACATGTTTTTGGTCCACGTATGTGCAGGTTTCTGTGGGGCTATACCCGGGAGCTGAATTGCTGGGTTCAGGGTTTATGTGCGTTCAGCTTTGGTCAATGCTGCCAGATGGTTTTTGAGTGATTGTAGTGATTTTTAACTCTTTCTCATGGTACGTGCGATTTCCAGTTGCTTCATATTTCATCAATCCTTGTTTTCGTCTGTCTTTTTAATTCTGGCCTTCCTGGGGCGCCTGGGTGGCGCAGTCGGTTAAGCGTCCGACTTCAGCCAGGGCACAATCTCGCGGTCCGTGAGTTCGAGCCCCGCGTCGGGCTCTGGGCTGATGGCTCGGAGCCTGGACCCTGTTTCCGATTCGTGTCTCCCTCTCTCTCTGCCCCTCCCCCGTTCATGCTCTGTCTGTCTCTGTCCCAAAAATAAATAAACATTGAAAAAAAAAATAATGAGAATTTCATTTAATTCTGGCCTTCCTAGTAGATGTGCATTTTGCTTTTCTGGAGAAGTGTTTTTTGTTTCCTATTTATTATAACTTGGATTTCCACAACCACCCTGTAAATTCCCTGTAAGGAAACCAGCCTCATCTTTGGAGGAAGAATTGAGCCAAGCGACGGATTATCTGGTTTGCGGAGACCTTACTGACCACTTGGTAGGACGGACACTCAGAAGTCTCATGACTGCTAGGCCTGTTTTCATCACCGTCTCTCTAATCTGTGACCAACGACCCAAACTTTAAGCTATAGATACCCGTTTTTAAAGATAGGTACGTTAAAAATAGCATGTCCTGCACATACATACGTCATTGGAAATCGGGACAGGCTCTCGGACGGGGCCACGCACAGTTTTCTGTGGCAGTCTTCATTCAGTTCTACCTGATTGTTGTCGCAGTGCTGACATGAACCGTACGTTCGCAGAGATGAGAAACAGCGTTGGCAGCGAATACATCAATACGAAGTGATTCTGTCACGTATGGAAAATTAGTTTTGTGCATCGTCTAAGGAGGTTATTCTCAGCAGTACACTCTCAGATCAGTCTCAAAAAGGCCCTGTTACTTTTAGACCTTGGGCCTAGATACGTTTTAGCTAGCTGGTGGGGCTTTAGATCCTGGAGGCTTTATTTTGTTGTAATTTTAACGCACTGTAGTTTTGTTAAATTTGGGTAACGTGTGGCGTCTAAATATACAGCCACCTGAGTTTAAAGTCTTTCTTTAGAAATCAAAATTTACAGGTAATAAAAGCAAATATTTGAAAGAGGACTTGATACTCCTTTTAAAAGCAGAGAAAATGTAATCTGAGTCATGAAAGGGGACCTTCACACAGGTACCTACTGATGGGCATTGAAAGTGCTCCTGGGTAAAGGTGAACTTTACCGTGGGAATATGAGCGGCCTGACCCTGTTAGGGATCATGTAATGAGTTTCTGACCAAGTATTTATCTTTAACTCTGTGCCACAGATACGTTTCATATCATGTATCATGAAACCAGTGCCAGTGTCTCTGACTCTGATTCTCATTGAAACTCCTCATGGTTCTTTTTTTTTTTTTTTTTAATGTTTGTTTATTTTTGAGAGAGAGAGAGAGAGAGAGACAGAGCATGAGTCGGGGAGGAGCAGAGAGAGAGGGAGACACAGAATCTGAAGCAGACTCCAGGCTCCAAGCTGTCAGCACAGAGCCTGACATGGGGCTCGAACTCACCAGCCATGAGATCATGACCTAAGCTGAAGTCGGACACCCAACCGACTGAGCCACCCAGGCACCCCAAAGCTCCTCATGGTTTTGACCAGTGCTTTGGCTTGACAGTCCGTTGAATCTGTTTTATACGGAAAGAACATAAGCAGTCTTGGGCTGATAACTGACAAAGTACTGTCGATAGAATCCCAGTTCATCTGCTGTTTTTACAGTAGGCATAATGTTGAAATTGGGGTCTTGTCTCAGAAATCAGGACCTTAAGAGGCAGGGAAGCCTGATTCTAGGACTTGAAAATCACCCCCACTTCTGTCCTGGCTTATTGTGTGATTTTGACCAAGTAGCTAAATTTCTCTGGGGTCTTGGTTTCCTTAGTTATGCAGCAAAGGTATGGACTGTATAACTCACCTTTCCCCCAGAGTAAATTTCATCTCTTCCTTTTTAATTCTTTTTGAACAGGTAATACATTCTAATGGTTTGGAATTTTAAAAAATGGAAGTCCCTTTCCCAGCCCTCGTCCCACTCACGTAGTTGCCATTTTTACAGGTCACCAATGCTGTTATTTTTTTCTGTAGTTTCTCAAGGATATCGTGTGCACATACAAGCAAACTCACGGTAAATCTCCGCCCCATCGTCCCTTTATTAAAGCAGTAATAGCACCGCGAACGTACTGCTTTTTTCGTCGACTGCGTTTTGAGGATTACCTTCATTTCCAAATGAATATTTACTTAATAGTAGATACATTTGAATAGATGATAGAGGTCAGATTCAAACAGTGCC